TGTCTGCCAGCATTTGTTTAATTATTAATTGTTCACTGATGTGTGATATGAATAAATAAAGGCAAACGAACATTTTTACCCCAAAAATATTTTGGTATTGTTATGGTTACTGACTTTACGCAGATGACAAATGAGAGTATTTCTTCATGTAATCACCAGTCGTACTGCACTAATATACTGCAGGTATTACTAATATACATATATACATTTGACGCACTGTCTATAAAGAACACTCATCATGTCATGAAATGATCCAACACTGTAAATAATGGCTGAAGATGGTGTGTGTGGTTCCTCAGTCTTCAGGCTCCATATTCACTGGTAAACAATGACCTTGTGTGACCTCTCCAGCTGATCATCTCCAGCTTTGAGGTTGACTTTACGTCAACACACACAACAGAAACAGGAGTGTTGTCACACAAAGACTGTTTGCTTCGCAGTTGCTCTCGTAAACCATGCGTACCTCGTTGCCATAGTAATATTTTAGTGTTGAATTTGTGTGAGGAGAGGATGGAGGGAGAGGAGTCAGAGAGAAGATGAATGATGGAGCTGGAACACAGGTGACCAGGAGACGCCTGATGGTGTCTTTTCTTTGGTAACTGGTAAACAAAAAGGTAGAATTTTAGTATTATTATTATTTTCAGACATATAGGAACATATGACATATATATATATATATATGTCATATGTATATTTTATATATATAAATAAATATATGGGTGATATATATGTATATGTTTATATATGCATATATATATGTATATATACATATATATCACCCTTATATATATACATATATATACATATATATATATATATATAAAATATATATATCACCCTTTTTTTCTTCTGTTTATATTTTCTCTTCATAATTAAATGTTTCACCGAAAAAAATTGGGTCCTCGGGTTGGCAAAGGCTCCTCAAAGGACCGTGATCTTTCTGCCTGTCTTTACGAAATGGTTTTGCATATTTCTCTCTGCCTGAGAGTTTGCCCACTGCCCTCAGACACCGAGTTTCCATGGAGGCAGGTTCGTCCCTCAGCCTCAAACGACGATATGAAGAGGTGGACAACGGTTCTCCATTCTGTACACCGAAGTTCTCTGACGATGACATCACCAGCAGTGACAGTGCTGACAGCTGTGACAGCCTCAACCCCCCTTCAAGCACTGCATTTACCCGTAAGCAATGTCTACAGCCCCCCCTCCCCACCTCCCCTCCAACACACACAGTTGGGGGGGGAGACACTTAGTCCATCCAGCCATCTCTAATGCAGGCCTTTGACTTACAAATATTTCTATTTGCCCCCACCTCAGCGACCTCCATCCTCCGACAGCACAAGCCGTCGCCGAGAGGAAAAAAGGTTCGTTTCGATGTGGTGACGGTCTATTACTTCCCGCGGCGGCAGGGATTCACCAGCGTGCCTAGCCAGGGGGGCAGCTCCCTGGGCATGGCCCGTCATCACTCGTTTATCAGGCACTACACGCTGGGCGAGTTTGCACGCGAACAGGAGAGCAGCCACAAGCACACTCTTCGTCAGCATCTGCGGCAGGAGAAGCTCAACGCACGCAAGATGAAGGTGACGGCGGTTCTCAATTATCCCCCCACGCTGACCCCTCCCCCCGACCCACAACCCTGCCAATTGAAATAGTATTGAGAACCTGATAACATGTATATTTCTATCTGTACAAACCACTGTATGAGTTGCTGCCACCTAGTGACTGGAGGCTTGTTATCATTCAAGCATTACAGCAGTGGTACACTTATGTCCAGCGTGCCATATTCAATTGGAAACCCCCCCACTCCCCTACTGGTAAGATCATGCAAATGAGTACACTGGGTTGTAATATAAATTCTCAGTCACCAACATCTGTTAAAGAACAACTCAAAATCCTTTCGTTCTCCCTGGGGTTCTCCTTTAACAGATGTTGGGAACTTTTGAAGAGACGAGTTCCGTGTTCCTTTTTTTTT